TAAAATTGATAAAAAGCTATTTAACCGTAGCAGTGATTTATATATTGGCTGCATATATATACCTCCAGACAACTCATCTATTTATAAAAATAATGAAATTGATAAATTCTTACTGCTTGAGAGGGATATAGCACATGTCTCTGCTAAAGGAGATGTTATCCTGTTAGGTGATTTCAACTCTAGAGTTGACTTAATTAATGATTTAGTAAATGAAGACAATAATAAATTCCCCCCCCCTCTTAACTATATCGCTGACAACTTTAGAGAAAGACGTAGTGTCATGAATTTGTTTTTGCGTATCTGTTAACCGACTTAATTAGCTGATTATTAGCGAATTGCTGTGTTATGTCTGTCATCGTTTAGGCCTATTTGAAGTTTTGGACGGAACTTGGCTCAGTGATTTGGAACTAATTACCAGATACCCGTCGCTATTCTGACAGTTGGTTTCATAGTTATTAATGTAGTGAACGATTAATCAAAAGATATGACGTATTCAGTGCTTAGTGTGATTGGCTTTATGATTGAAAGTTACGCCCTAGAGTCTTTTTACTGTTTTGTAATTGGTTAGAGTTTTGAAAATGAATAAAGAGAGTTTGAGTTGATCTTGGGGAGCACAGCACGATAGACGGAGTAGAGAGGGTGCAGTCCTGGGCAGTCTAGAGCAGTCCTGGAGAGCCTTGGGGCGAGTGTTGACGCAGTCTAAGAGAGTCTTGGGTCAGCCTTGCGATAGTCTTGGGGATTTTTCCCCAGGGCGCTGCGTCTTATAGAGTGCTCGATTGACCGACTAAGACGAGAGCTGAAACGTATTTCGTTGTGTGTGTCTTATTTGACTGTAAAGTTAAAGTGACTTTCCCGATCCCATACCTCGAGGGGACGACGTAGCATGGATAAAAATAAGCACTTACAAATTTGGTAGACAATTAATTGAGCTTTGCATGGACAGTAACTTGATTATTCTCAATGGGCGCACCATTGGTGATTCATCTGCTGCACACCAATGGGGTGCAGTACCGTTGATTATGCAATCACATCTACTTATATTTTTGAAAATGTTCAGTATTTCAAACCTAACCTGCCCAATATAACTGTCTCTGTCTTTTGAAATTGATGTAAAAATATTAACATAAAAAAACGCAAAGTCAAAATGGACATGAAACCATTACCAGCCAAATACATCTGGGATAGTGAAGCAAAACTAAATTTTAGGCAACTTCTTGAAATAGCTAAAGAAAATGAAATTAGCGACATTATAAACAAAATTGATTCAAACAATTGTGATGTTGTTGTTACAGAATTTAGTGCTTTGCTGTCATCAGTCGCGGAAAAAACTTATAACCCCCAAAATTAGCAAAACGAAAAAAAAGAGAAACCAAACGGGACGAGCTCTGTAATGAAATGTTTAAATATGGAGAATTCTACATTCTTGCAGTGCTTCATAAATTGTTTAATCACATATATAATTCAGGTATTTTTCAAGCCAGTTGGAACACGAGCTTAGTCGTTCCTATTCACAAGTCAGGGTCCAAGACAATTCCCAATTCCAATTAACTACAGAGGGATTGCAGTATCTAGCTGCTTACTATTTACCAGTATCCTGAACACTAGGCTAATAGCATACTTGGATAACAAAAATATTATTTCAAAGCATAAGTTCGGTTTTAGGAAAAACTGCAGGACCACAGACAACCTCTTTATATCAAGAACAATTGTACAAAAATATCTATATAATAATAGCCATTCAAAAGATATCACAACCTCCAAGTCTTACAAAATCTTTGCTTGCTTTTTAGATTTTAGAAAGGCGTTTGACAGTGTGTGGCATAATGGTCTCTATTTCAAACTTCATAAAAATGGCATATCAGGTAAAATGTTTGATATAATAAAAGACATGTATGAAAACAACTGATACAGAATTAAAACAAAAGAGGGTTTAACTGGGAGTTTTAAATCAACAGTTGGAGACAAACAAGGGTGGAATCTTAGCCCACGTTCTTGATAATTTAAAAGTAAGTTGTCTTCTATATATGCAGCTGATGTTGTCATTTTATCTAAATCTGCTAAGGGGCTACAAAACTGTAACGAAATCTGATAACACATTATTAGAATGTAAAAAGTAAATGGTTTATAAGTGTAGAAACCCTCATGCAAGATATTGATGTTGTTACCATTGTAAACTCAAGTGAAATAATAAATAAGAAAAATTTAGACTTTATTCATTAAAAAATAAACAAATCATTTGAGAACCAATGAATTTTAGACATGCATAATGATAATAGAAAACAAACCTTGGCTACAAACAAACTAAACATACAGACTTTTTAAACAAGATTTAATAATTGGAAATTACCTAATTAATATGCAGAACCATAGTCTTAGAATGTTAATTGCAAAATTCAGGACAAGCAATCATGACCTTAAATTTGAGAAAGGCAGACATAATAATGTTCCACTGGATAAAATAACATGTGATATGTGCAGCCAAAATATAATTGAGGATGAGCAACATTTTGTAATGAAATGTCCAGCTTACAGTTATCATAGGGACAAATTATTCCTGACTGCACAAAATAAAGTTCAAAATTTTGATAAAGAAAATAGTCAATACTCTAATACTCTAGCACCAGCCTTAGCTGTCTTCTTAAAAAACAGCTATGGAACAAAACAGCAACAACTATCAGTGTATTAAGTTACATTTTGTGTTCATTCTATATTCTGTATTCACCATTGGTTGCAAATTATCTTTATTGTTTATCCATATTTGTTTTTAATTTGTTTTATATTTTGAGAATAGGTTTTTTTTCTTTTTAGATTGTAGTTTGTTTTTAAATTTCTTTCTGTAAGACCCTTTTTATCCTTTCCTAAGGATGTCATGCGTCTAATAAAATATACAACAATGAATCTAAAGTGATGGAAAACACAAAGATAACAACATAGAAAATAAGCCATACTAATACTATCGTGGTCAAGAGATGTTCCTGGTTTTCACTCTTTAGGGAAATCACTAATTTGAGTACAGTTGATTACAGTCATATCGTCAGTGAGCCCGTGGGAGATTCTACACTGAAATACACACAAGTCGTATTAGGTAGAGACTACCACAGCTATTTCACCTGTACATCTATGAACAGTCCTTGGAGTATCTTATTTCAAACTCTTTTTAAATGTTAATTTGTATTTATTCTAACTAATATAGTGTAACATACATTCTCAGTTTCATTTGTCGAACGATGATCAAATGGTAAATGACACATATTATTTATATTATATTAGGATGGTAAGATCAAAAACATATTGACAGACAGCATAGCCAAGTAGATCACATCGCAGTCAGTAAATCAAATGATATTTCAAATGTTGTTTAGTAGCATAAATATATTTAATATTATTACATGAAGATCAGTGATGAAATCATATTTAGCAGAACTTTCTTTATATCTGAAAGTTTCTTTAGACAATATGTTAACATCTACGACCTTATTTTCACTTTATCCCTAACAGACATTGCCATAAATGGACAATGAAATCTGCTCAAGTAGGAATTTTCTGTCTATCCCAGTGCAGTGACTATAATTCCATGCAAGATGATATACTGTTCAAAGATATTAGAATAAATTAAGAAATGTCTGTTGTTCTTTGTTGAATGACACTGTTATACAACCAAGTAAATAGCCTTGGGGTTATTCCGCCCCATAAGACAAATAAGTTGTAAATTCTAAAGTAAACATTGTCAAACTCTTGTTTATTGTGTACTCACCATAAGTTTAAAACCAACATTGTACGTGCAGTGAACAACTATGCACTAAACAGTCTATAGAATTAAAAAAAGGATAATGAGTCGGTTTAAATTTCTATTCTAATTAATAAAAGACACAATAATACAACGTCTTCTGTATATGCTTTCATCTCTTTTGGAAACAGACTGTAATGGTAGGAAGTGCAAGTAATAATCGGTACGTTATCTAATTTTACATGTTTTATTGTAGGTACTTCCTATAATTGTTTTCTAATTTGAAATTTATGGCTTACCATCATTATTTGACAATACATACAAACACATTTTAATGTGAATAAAACACTTTCAAGTACGAGTTCATATACCAGTCATACATGTGTACTAGTACAATCATAGCACAAACATTGATTAGACAATATAAACTAATAGTGTTAAAATTAATAATATGAGGTTATTACGAGGATACCTCAAAGTATGCACGAAGACAGTACAACGGGAGTATCGCCCGACGCGCAGCAGGAGGTCTATGCGACGGCCGGCGTACTATCTGAGTTCAAACTAACATTGTTCAAAGTTCAAACTAACATTGTTTTCAATAAATGAGCTTGGTGTTTGCCAAAAAACAAACAAAATTAATGCTAACAAATCATAAAAAATAAATTAGCATTTAACCACTGTTATTAGTATATAACTGTTTAGCTACTGTCAAGTCCTAGGCGTAAGATCGCTTCTTTCACAATTTCTCGTCCATTTACTTCCAAACCAACGCATGGAAATTTGTCGAAGAAGAGAATATATCGTGGCATATAAAATGGTGACACTTTCCCTGTCAGAAAAGTCTTCATTTCATTCGCAGTGCAGGTAGTTCCTTCTTTCAGTACAAGACAAAGGCAGATTTCATTCAAATATTTCTCATCAGGAACAGGAACTACATGCACATATTTCAATTTTGGGTGATCTTCAAGACACTTTGTGATTTGTGTTGGGAAAACATTGAAACAGCCTTTAATAATCATGTCGTCTCACCTGCCTAATATAACCAACCGACCATTTTCATCCATCTGACCCAGATCTCCAGTATAATACCAACCATTTGAATGTTTGATATTCTCTGTGCGTTCTTTGTCACCATAATACCACTGGAAATGATAAGGCCCACGCACCCATATATCACCTGTAGTATTAACATGCAAAATGCGTTTATCTGTGTCTGTAATTTTCAATTCACAATGTCGAAATACTCGTGTTGTCCTACGAATTCTATCTTCTAATGTATATGATACGTCCCCGATGCCGATATAGATAGTTCTCTTGTTCCATAAACGACAACTGCATTAGTGCATAGTAATTTTACAGCATTCAGAACAATGCCTTGTGGGAAGACATTTCCAGTACACCAACATCGCTGCAACGATGACACATCAAAACTCTTGATATTTTGTTGATTGACAGCTTGTGATAAATGTTGAGGAAACAACTGTACGAAATTACATCGTTCACTTTCGATAGCTTCCAGTGCACCAGTGAAATCTTCTGTCGGTCTTGGTGAAACCAGAGTAGCACCCCAGGTTAGAAGCATAGCTTGGTATAAGCCACATGATGACACAAAGGACCCTAACTTCAGAACTTTTATAACACTGTGTTCATCAGCTGTAGCATCACACTTAGAGGCATATATATTTTCCAAGGTGCTTCTTTGTGAGCGAACCACGGGTTTGGGGTGTCCAGTGCTGCCAGACGTAAAGGTTATCATACAAGGATCATCTGCACTAACTTTGCTCTTCAAATCCTTAATTACCTGATATTCTTCTAGTCCGCCACGACCTCGAAGTTTGCCCTCGTGCATTACGATGCTACATCCAATGAGAGGACAGTCATCGTCGAATGTTATGATGTAACGCAATGATGGTACACGAGATAATGTTGGTGTGTCAGATTCTATATCGGGAGAAACTTGTTTTAATTTTTCATATTGATCATGTTGGCTTAAGCCAACAAACATAGCTGCACATTCTGTTTTATTCAGTATGTATGTCAAATGATCGGATGATTGTAATTCTGCCAATTCAAGTGCAATTAGTCCAGCTCTAATAGCAGCTGAATTCAACAGTATCCACTCGTATCCATCACCCATCCAGAGACAAACTCGCTCACCAGATTTCAGACCAATCTTCACTAAATCACTTGCAAGGTGATTGGTATCATCTGAAAATTGTTTAAATGATATTCTCACGCCGCTATCACAGAACACGAGTGCATCTCTATCTGGAAATTGTCTTGTGGCCTCATCTTGTAGTTCGTGGAAGGTCTTTCCAAGGAAAGGCTGAGCTGATGCCCTGTGATAATAGCTCTTCTGGAGATTAGTCTTGCAACCACTGCTCATGTTGGTATCTGGGAAATAGAGTGAGATATACGTATTATACACTTTTATGTATCTGGTAATATTATACTCATAGCCCTGTCAGGCAATCAGGATCAATATATTTGATTAATATCCACGCCAGTTTGAGCACTTGAGCAATTTATCTGAATATGGCTCCTTCCCCGTTTCATGAAGTTTTCTCGATGTATCTCCCCTATTTTTGAATTAGTAGAACAACAGTACAATTTTCTTCTCACCAAGGTCAGGTCGTGTTTCATATATTTATACAAATATATATACAAAGTGTGAGATAATCATCGAAAAACACGACTATAGCTGACATTTCACGATTTGTTGCTTCGTATACTTACGTTTATTATTCTATTTATTTAATCCATATAATTGTATGATTCCTAGTGTATTGGACATTTATGTGGGTTGATTACATTTTCATTCGACCGGAAATGTGCTGTTATATTAGTTTTATTAAGTTTTTAGTTGCCCAGTGTGCTGTTTTGTTGATCCATACGACGCATAATCATTGCAGCTTCTGACCGTCATTCATAGATTATTTGAACCTACCAATATAATAAATGTGGCAGTATTATTTGAAGGGAATGTGGAATATGAAAATACAAATATTAGTATATTTGTGAATGGAGAAAACTCGTAATCCTGTCATTGGAAACTGGGTCAATAGCCCTTGGCAAGATGTTTTAAATGTAACAATTACATACAAAACAGTACCTTTTAGGAACATGTAATTATCATGTTCTTGAGTAATTTACTTCACCAACAGAAAAGGCAATAATAATTAAAATGGCACAATTATCAAACAATTACAAATATTTTAAAAATCACTACATAACTACGTGAATCCTTCTGTTATTTGGACAACTCGGGGATAATATTATCTCCCTTGTTGGAACCCCTCAGAGCACAATGGGCCACAATGAATTACCTAAAGCCGATGAGATATTCATACATTTATATAAGCACATCGATCGACATTGGGTTGGTTGAGTCTAAATTTATTTTCCTTCAAATCTTTAAAACATAGTTCATACGACGCAGTTTTTCGCGATCACCACGTAATATACTATGTATTAAATATTTCTGTAAACAAATGTATGTCGACATCACACAATATCCTATGTATTAAATATTTCTGTGAACAACTGTATGCCGATATCACGTAATAGACTATGTATTAAATATTTCTGTGAGCAACTGTATACCGACATCACATAATAGACTATTTGTTAAATATTTCTGTGAACAACTGTATGCCGACATCACGTAATAGACTATTTGTTAAATATTTCTGTGAACAACTGTATACCGACATCATGTAATAGACTATGTATTAAATATTTCTGTGAGCAACTGTATACCGACATCACGTAATAGACTATGTATTAAATATTTCTGTGAACAACAGTATACCGACATCACGTAATATACTACGTATTAAATATTTCTGTGAACAACTGTATGCCGACATCACGTAATGAACTATGTGTTAAATATTTCTGTAAACAACTGTATGCTGACATCACGTATTAGACTACATATTAAATATTTCTGTGAACAGCAGTATGCGTAATACACTAATAATAATAATAATCATCATCAACAGCATGGATTGACAACAAAAAACAAACAAAACATTTGATCGCCTGCCCCACAGCTGGGTCACTAAGACACTTGCAATGTACAAAATATGCGCTACCGTCACAAAGTTCATCCCTGAGAGCATGAAGACATGGAAAACCACCTTACATTTGTATCATGCTGAAGGGTCACTGGAATCACGTTCAGTAAACATCACAAGCGGAATATTCCAAAGAGATTCATTATCACCCCTGCTCTTCTGCCATGCCCTTGCTCCCCTCAGTTCAATGCTCAACAACAGCACATACGGATATGACTTCCAGAAAGGGAAAATTAACCATCTATTTTACATGGATGATCTCAAAACCTTTGCCAAAGACAACAATCAACTAACCGGGTTCCTGCACATAGTTGAGACTTTTAGTGATGACATCAACATTTTCGGTCTAGAAAAGTGTGCCAAAGCAATTTTCAAACAAAGGAGATTGGCCCAAACCGACAGCATAACTATTGACACTGACACAACAATCAAATACCTAGAACAGGAAGGAACCTACAAGTATCTAGGAATAATCCCTAGATAATCCGATTAATGAAGGAGATGGCATACAATACTCTTCCATAAAAGAAAAGTCAGGAAAGAATATTACAGACGGATTAGGATGAGTTTAAGTAGTGAACCCAAAGCTACCAACAGCTTTGACGCTATAAACATCCTAGCCATACCAGTTTTAACTTACAGCATTAACATTATTAACTCGAAAATAAGTTAGATCAAGAAGTTAGATACCAAAACACGCAAACTCCTAACTACAGAAAGAATGTACCACCCAAAATCTGATGTGGACCGCCTTTACCTACTAAGAATCCAAAGAGATTGGAAGAAGAAGATATTGACCAACACGACCAATCAATGGCTGTGAAGTGGTGGACTGAAAGCAGAAACAGGAGGACTTTTTACAGCACAACACCAGAGCCTTGCAACTATCATATCATCACCGTATCATCAAATATATCACAGACGCCCAGAGCAGAATATGTGGCAGATATGAGGAGAGCATCGATCATATTCTATCTGGCTGTCCCGAATTAGCAAAGACAGAACACATTCAAAGACACAACAGGGCAGCTGCATACGTGCACTGGATGATCTGCAGACATTATAAGACCAAGACTGGGGGCAAGTGGTATGAACACCAAACAGATACAGTAAATGAGAGTGAGGAAGTAACAGTTCTGTGGGATATGCCAATAAAAACAGATAAAGAAATAAGTGCCAACAGACCAGACATAGTTATCAAGGACAAGAATCATAAAATGTGCATCCTCATTGACACGATAGATAGAAATGCATCTGTGAAACTGGCTGAAAAGTTGTCCAAGTACAAAGACCTTGAAATTTAAGTGTAGGGAATGACAACTGGGACAGTGCCAATAGTGATCGGGCACTATGACTCATAAAGACGGGTCTGGAAATATACACCAGCAAAATCCTGGAGATATTAACATCTTGGAACTCCAAAACATCAGCATCCTTGGAACGGCCCACATACTAAGAAGAGTACTATCAACATAACTTGATCTGTTTGCTTGATCTGATTGGGAAATATTTCTGTATGGCTTCATTAATTGCGGCAACATTACTAACGCTAATTTTAAATACTGAGATCGTTTATTTTACAAGAGAACCATGGGTCGAAACGTCCGCGCTGGTCTAAAAGTCCGGCATTCGAGTGCCTTAGTACCAAAGGTCGCCGAGCATGGCCATACAACATACTTTGAAACATCGCTACTGGTGCAAGGGGGTTTCCGATTAAGGTAACTGTCATGAATTTATTTTGCGTATCTGTTGACTGACTTAATTAGTTGATTATTAGCGAATTGCTGTGTTATGTCTGTCATCGTTCAGGCCTATTTGAAGTTTTGGACGGAACTTGGCTCAGTGATTTGGAACTAATTACCAGATAACCACCGCTATTTAGACTACTCATTCTGACAGTTTATATCCATAGTTATTAATGTAGTGAACGATTAATCAAAAGATGTGACGTATTCAGTGCTTAGTGTAATTGGCTTTATGATTGAAGGTTACGCCCTAGAGTCTTTTTACTGCTTTGTAATTGGATAGAGTTTTGAAAATGAATAAAGAGAGTTTGAGTTGGTCTTGGGGAGCAGAGCACGATAGACGCAGTCTAAGTCTAGGGCAGTCCTGGAGAGCCTTGGGGCGAGTGTTGACGCAGTCTAAGAGAGTCTTGGGTCAGCCTTGCGATAGTCTTGGGGACTTTTCCCCAAGGCGCTGTGTCTTATAGAGTGCTCGATTGACCGACTAAGACGAGAGCTGAAACGTATTTCGTTGTGTGTGTCTTATTTGACTGTAAAGTATAAGTGACTTTCCCGATTCCGTACCTCAAGGGGACGAGATATAGAGAGACGAGACGAGATTCCCCCCTGACAAGTGTGGAGAACCCCAGAGAGAGAAGATTTTCCCCGTGATATAACCAAGATGGCATTGCAGTTCTTGATTTTTCGGCGGTGTTTAAAAACAACCTCTCGTTGCCGAGTTCTCTGTAATTTCAAGTTTTTTTTTAATTATTTTATTTTACGTTTGTGTATTTTGACACTGAAAAGTTAGTTATTGATGTAGTTATCGGTGACAGCAACAACAGTGGTTGTTACCCAATGCATTGCAAAGCTATCAGCTATCATCAACTGTTTACTTCAGTGTTAAAATGCCTTTGAAGTAAAAAATGCATGGAATTTTTTTTAGTGAAATGCAATACAGCTTGAAATCTATGCACCAAGATAACAAAGAAAATTGTGGCTTTGTTTAGCACGATATCGGGCCTCCTCCTACATGAAAGTAGTATACCACTGGAAGCTGCCAGGCTGCAAGTTGTCGACATGTTGCGAGATATGGGAACTAAAGAACTCACGTCAGCCCAATAACAGTACACAAGATATCACCTCCAATGGAAGCCAGTCAAAGCTGTCGTAGTACGATCAGGGTTATTTGCATGCACACCAACAGTTACTACATTGTCGCTCTCAAAATGGGTCCCTTTCTTTGTAATGACCCCCTAAGGATTGCTAACTTCCCCTTTCTAACTCTTGCCCACAAAATTAATATATTGCCCTTTTTAGAATGTATTAAACCACAAATTAATGAATATTCATTATCACAGAAACTGTCACGTCATGAATAAATTAGGATATTTTTTAAGAAAATGCATAAAGTGCAGGTACGTCGTCTGGAATGTTTGATATTTTCAGGAATCAAAGCTATTTTTAATATACTAGTATTGCATGCAATGTGTGATATGTGGCAATGATATGTCCATTTTACCATGATTCATATATTTTTCTTGAAATTAGTTTCAAGCAAGAAATGTTTTTCAAATAGTGGATTA